TTTTTTTTTTCTTCCTTAGTCCCCAGATAATTTGTCAGATTTTGGTAAACTGATAGTTACTGAACTGATCTAAAAGTAAGCCAAAGAAAATAAGTCTTTTAGTGTTTTTTGTAAAAGCAGAGTTACTGCAATCCCTTTCTAGTACTTGGGCAATGATTTAACCGACTTAGTCACTCTTGTAAACTGCCTTTGAACATTTTGAAGGGCATGAGCGATGAGCTGGGCCGGTGCACGTGTGCTTTACCTGCTACAGATCAGAAAATAAAACTGAAATTACTGTTTTCCGCTGTGACTTGGGGAATTTTGTACTTTATTGATTCAAATTTGTCGTTTGGTGGTGTGTGGGAGAGCAGCTGCCTTTAGGGTGATTGAAAGGAAGGATTGGCGGGAACACTTAGTGAAATTGGTCTTACAGTAAAAACGTACTACAGTTTCATCCTGCTTTTTTAAATAGAGGAAGGTTATCTGTACTGACAGTTCCTGAAGCAATTTTTTTCCCTGCAAATTATTTGCCTGCTGGTTTGCTGGCAGCAATGATGTTAGCGGCCTTTTTTGCTTTTAATTTTCCCAATAAAATGAGGATTTTGTTTTCAATTACTATTCTGTGGTAGCAGCTGTAGTTGCCACACAGATGCCCCTTCAGCTGTTAAATTAAGAGTAAAGGAGGTAGTTCTCAAAATCCAGGGCAAGGCCGTGACTGTTTTTGTTAGTCTTAATGAAGACACAAAACTCTGTTGCTACTCGGTTTTGTCTTTGATGCTAAGGTGATGATTAAATGATGACTATGTGTGTCTAGCTATAGCTCAGCCACAGACCAGAATTCTGCTGTCTCTCTTTTTCAAACTGGGATGTGGGTAAAGAGGCTGCATGGTTCTCCTCTCCCACCAGCTGATAGGAAGCAAGCTGCATTGGAAGGTGCTAATGGGAGAAAGAAGGTCATAGACCACAATCTCCTTAATCATTAGTAAATTCACTTGTACATGCTTCACTTTAAGATTTAAAAAGAGGACTAGTTACTTGATACTGTCTCCTGCTAAACAGGATATCACTACATCATCAGATGGCTTTCCAGGTTTCGTAAGCATCACAGCAAAAGCTTTCGAGACAGAGAGTGAATTTAGAGATGGAAAGATTTGTATATGCCAAAGGAAAGCTCTCATCATTTGCTGCTTCGTTTATTTTATAAGATGGCGATGGAGGAAAAGATTCACTGACTGATTAAGGAAGAGTCAGGCTTTCTTCTGGCTGTCTTACTCAGTATTAAGAGGGTGACACTGTAAAGCAAGGATAATTGAGATGGGGGAGGAGGATCAGAGAAAGGGTTACTGTGGTCAGGGTGGCAAGCTAAAAATATGTTCCTTACAGCTGCGTTCTGAGTAGGGCAGAGTTGAGCCCGTTTATAGGGTAAAAGTGATTGCAAAACTGAGCTGCAAGTCTGAACAAAGGCTCCAGGGCTGAGGGAGCGCTGCCTGGGAAACGGTCAAAGTACCTGGTCGTGGGAGTATTCAGGTGTTGGGCCTGAGAGAAATAGTGGGGAGAGGGTTAAGGTTTTAGCTATGCTTTACTTTGAGGGGAGGGTGTATGTGTCTAATTTAGATGGTTCTGAACACTGACCTTTAAAATGGGCTTCTTCAAGCACCACCACTTAGCCCAGCTCCTGTGAAGTTTCACACGTGCATGTTTCTCTTTTGGCTTTTCTCTGGCAGGTATTTTGTGAAAGTGGCTTGGGCATGGACGTTCTGGCTTCTGCTGCCCTTCATTGCAGTCACCACCTACCAGTTCGCCAAGAGCAAGTTCTTCTACGGTCCCACGAAGAGCGTTTTGATGGTGCTGCAGCGTCTCAGTGCACTGCTAGTGGGCACTGCCATCTGGTATGTCTGCACCAGACTCTTCATGTACATCGAAAATCTCACCGGCGTGTGCTCTATCTCGGGTAAACTCAGTGAGCCTCACCAGCTGTATGCCACCAAGCAAGAGTGCCACCAGAACAATGGGATCTGGAATGGTTTTGACATCTCAGGACACTGTTTTCTGCTCTCATACTGTGCTCTGATGATTGTGGAGGAAGTGGCTGTGCTGGAAGGCTTGTCCATACACCAGAACTCTAAGCTGCGCGTTGTAGTCAATGGCCTGTTTTTTAGCTTGTGTTTTCTCACCATGATCTGGGTGTTCATGATTCTCTGCACTGCTCTCTATTTCCATGACTTCAGTCAAAAGCTTCTCGGCCTGCTGATAGGTCTGTCAGCTTGGTACGGGACATACAGATTTTGGTACCTGAAACCCTTATCTCCTGGACTACCTCTTCCAAATACACCTTTGAGTTCAAAGAAATACAGTTATAGCAGATAAAATAAGTTTTAAAAGTTTTGATTTTTTTTTTTTGGTACTGGAGTAGTTGAATGTAGGAACAATTACTGTATTTTCACTGTAAGGAACAAGGTGATGGGCAGGAGGAGACCAAATCTGTACTAGCTGATGGCTGGCAGGTGGTAATGAGCTTCTTCCTTGGGAGAAAAAAAAAAAAAAGATATTGGAAGAGATGTGCACTTGTTTAGGAGCTGCTGGCTGACGTTCTCAGCAAAGAAATCGGAAGTTGGATCTGTTTCTCTTACTGATAAATGGAGGAGCAGGTCCAAGGCTGACAGGGGCCTTTGCTCTTTAAGAGCTTGACTGATACCATATTAATTCTCCCTCTTTCTTTTTGTATTTATGTCAAAGTATTGTGGATCATCCGAACCTCTTTCTTACTTTTTGTAATACTCCTATTTGTGTTGCCTTACGGGAAGGCTCTGATAATGACAGTGCTGCCAAGTGTTGCAAAAATATCAATACTCGTTAAAGCCATATATAGCTCTGTTATGAAGCTAGAACATCTTGTGTTACCAGGTGTTAAATACACTAACTTGCCACAAATGCTACCTAGCTGTCTACACCTCCTGCAACTAGGAGAGTAAATCTGAGATGTAATGTGTTAAGCAGACTGTGACTTTAAGTTCATGACTGCCTTTGAAAAGGAAACTCTTGGAAAAACAAGCCTTAACTTTCTCCTTAGTGAAGTATCTGTAATAATATTTTGCCATTTTATTCTTGACAGAAAAAAAACCAAACTCCTAATTTTGTTAAAAAGTCTAATATGAGAATTCAAGTTTTAATTTTTTAAAAATTTACGAGTTGCACACTTTGCAACAAGTACTTTGTGATATGTTTCTTCTAGAAGAACAATGAAATTCTGGTGTTAGGAACGAGTTAGCTTAACACACTATTTCCCAAATAGTCTGCTTGGTAATGAATGAGACGCCTTGTTTACCTTAAGAGCTGCAAAGCAGTGTGCTTGAAGCAATATTTATTCTTGCTTATCCAGCAATGTCAGTAAGCTGCTTAATTTTGATTGCACATAAAGCTGTGGCCGCTTTTGATGTGGCTGGAAACCCACTACTGAATAAAACACTACTACTATGTAATGAGTAAGTATGAAGTGAGATGGGTTTACTCATCATATCAATCAAACATTTAGCATGGTTTTTATCTCGAAAAGCTTTTTATTATTTCATAAAGGCTTATTCATGACACAATTGCACAGAATTTGTTTGACAGTTGCAGTGATGAGCACGACAGCCAAAAGCATCCATGGGCACAGCCGTAGGTGGTGTCCGCTGACGTGGGAGCAGGCTTGGTCTGTCTGTAGCGTTTGACTCCAAGGTGATTATTTTGCAGAGTACAGAGTGTGATGCACCGTAGTCTAATCTCAGTACATTTCTTTTTGCCATCTCAACAGCTCTCTTGCAGCAAGAGAGCGCTAGCATTTGCAATAAATACAGCAGTGTTAATTCCATGCCTGTGATCTGCCTCTGAGGAGAGCTGAATTCACCTGAATTTCCACTGAATTCAGTGCCAAGTGGGAGCTGTTGTGCGTCCTTAGAAAGTACAAATCACCTCTTAGAAAGAAGCCTTTCAGGAGGTTGTGTATTTTCTGTCAAGCTCCTCCTTTTGTTTTCACATTATGTTGCCTTTTAAGACAACTCTTTGGAAAATGTGCACTGATTAACTCATATTGGGTTTAACTAAATTTGTTTAAACAATGCAAATTCGTTTGCAGACATTCTTTTGATGTGATGTAAGCCTGCTCCCAATAGAGTTAAGCTAGACCGCAAGCCACTTTCACCATGAAAAAGGATTATATACCCAGAAGGTTTTCTGATTAATTTAATTAAATTTAAATTTCTATTTTAGGTTATCTTTATGTAACTTTGCTATATAGATGAAGCCTTGGAAGAGGAAATGCTATTTATTTATACCAACTGACTTGCTGAAGTTGTGTTCAGTTTTGCAAATGTTTTGTGCAATCACTATATGGTTATTTCTGTCCACTTCTAACCAGTGTCATATAAACTTTTTATTATGGGAATAATGTGGGATATGGTTATTCTCAAAACTTTTATTTAAACAATGAAAGAAAAACACATAAACTTTGTCAGTGTTTGTGTCTCTGAGAATCTGCTTCTGATGTCTGTGAAGATACTGCTGCTGCTCTTCACTTTCCTGAATGATCCAGCCTCCTGGTCTTTTTGTGGCTACTGACATACATGATCAAACTGACTGATAATTCTGCAGTGTTTGAATGGATTAATACAGCACAGGTTCTCAAAAGTACAGAGTATAAAAAGAAACAAAACAAAAGCAAGTTTCCTAATGTGTGGCTGTTACACCAGGCAGTTGATTTTGTAGACATGAACAGTTGCTCACTGTAGCAAAGTGAAAGCCTAATCCATTGAAATATATGTGAAAATTCCCATGGGCTGTAATACTGCTTGGGGGTTTGGACATCTTGGCATACGTGTCCTTATCGGTACCCGGAGATCATGTGCCAGCTGTTGGCTTAGAAGGTTCCCTTGTGCTCCGTACCTTTTCTTTGCATTTTTTGACTTAGTTCCAGAGTAAGTCTTTGCTTTTCATATTTTGTAATGAGTTCCAAAAGACAGCAACTATCATCACAAGAAACACTTGACCATCGTCTTTTTTTTTTTTTTCTTTTCTGCATTAAAGTATTTCTCTTGTTCCTGCAGAGCTGTCTTTATGTGCCTGTAGAATTATCTAGGGAATTTTTGTCTCCAACATCTTACTAGCATATTACTTATTTCAACATAAGTTTACTAATTTTTCATTGCTTGTGTTTGTCTGGCATGTTTTATGGGCTCTGTATCACAGCAGTTTCACAGAAGCAGCGTTTGGCCTGACTGATGTGGCTGAGGCAGTTCTTGGTCTTGGTGCTTTAAACGTTTTCCTCTGCTGGGGCCAGCAAGGAAAGGAATCTCAGCTGGAACACAGTGGGAAGATTAACTGGATTAGGATTCATTTCACTCTTCACTTACCTGGGACTCTTTCAAATGTTTGCGTCACTGGAGGCAAGATCAGACAAACAGGAAAGTTTAGATCTTTCGTAAGAGCCATCTGAACAGTTCAGACTGAACCGTATCTGAGCCCGGGGTTTGATTCTTCCTCAGAGCCTTTGCTCAAAGCAAACTTGTTCCATGAATGCTTCTCTGGTGCTAAATGGTGTTCTTGGTTTGCCAGTTTGTGTGTACTGAAACTTGAGTTGTAGAGGGACTGTAGAAAAAAAATTAAAATCCTGTTTTGTGTTTTGATGCATGGCAATTCATGACAGACAAAGTGAGAAACACCCACTTACGCCCTGTGGTGCACTTTAATGGAAAAAAACGATAGGGGCTGCTGTGATATATTAAATGTTTTGGAAAATCAGGCTTTAGTTGTGAACACAAGTCTATGGTTACTTTTCTTAGTGAAATAATACCTGTTTTTTTCCACTGTAGCTTAAAGTAGATCCCTGCAGCTTCTCTGCGATCAGCCTTTTCCAGCTCTTTCC